TAGCGCGAAGCTTGGTAAGTCCAATCTGGCAAGGAATCCAATGAACTAAGAATATTTCACGCCTTGTGCGCACGAGCGCTCGCTCACTAAACGACCCGAGCCAAATTGGCTCAGAGATCGTGATAAGCTTGTAGCCGTCACCGGAGGTGGACAAACTCGAAAAAGTAGGGCTGGGCGAAATCTCCCATGATCTGCCAAAACTAACCTAAATTATTTAAAATGGGTGATGTTAGCTTGTCAAATTTAAAGTGTAGCCGGATGAACTTTCGCCGAAAGTGGGTGTGCCAAGTGAAAAACACATTGTGACAGTAAGGCTCAAGGGCCGCCAAACGCTCAGAGCGGCGCAAAATTGAATAGTCGGGACTTGTAGTCAAAAGTGCGTTCAGAATGTCGAGATCTACCCTCCAAGGTGATGTAGCCTGATCAAATAGTCGAATGACTGGATCTGCCCAAGAAGTGATGTTATGTGTTAATCTGCCTGCCAGTGTCACTTAGCATATGCAGTTGGAGACTAGACATCATGCTTAGAATGGGGGCCAAATCCAATCCCCCTAGCCTAAGGGAAGGAACCGCCAGTCGCGAAGATGCGCGTTTAATGTCTTAAAATCGACACATAAAGAGCAAATTAAGCCGTAAAAGCTGGTCTTGAAATCCTGTTGCCGGGATATGGCAGATGTTCGCGGTATACCATAGGAAAGGTAAAATAACTTGCCGAAGAATGGCTACTTGCCCGCGTGAAGTTCTCGCGCGATGAAGCCAAATTAAGCACCGGATTTCCATCACTGTCAGAAGGTGCTATAGGCGGTCAGCGTCGGTGAGGCTTGGACCATAGAAAATTCTAAGTAGCTTAGCGCGGTCAGTATTTCGAGCCACGATAACCCCCATGTTATTAAGGCTTTGACGTAAAAGTTCTGTTTAGCTGATCCAAGGCTTCTAAGGAAAATCCACTGTTTTGTTTTTGTTGAGGTGCATACCGGAGGCCTTCAAAAATCTTCTCCGAGTTGCAGGAAGACTATAGTATGGCTTAAATCACGGAGAAGCCCAGTATAGTCGCCAGCAAAACTGATCACCGCGTGAGTTGTTAAGCCGGTACGAAGTCCAAAATCATAAAGATGGACCCGTATTTAGTTGAGCAATGGCTAATAAATAGTACAAAAAGTGCCAGCGAGAGAGGATCACCTTGGCGAATCCCGGCTCTCAGCTCAAATGGGTCGATTGGTCGCCCGTTGAACATTAAGGATACTAGTGTGCCGGGAAGGAGGACTCGAATCCAGCGTCTCAATATGTCACCCAATTCAAGTGCATCGAAAGCATGTCAAGTGCATCCCAGACGACACTATCAAAGGCTTTCGCAAAGTCAAGTAAAACCGCGCCAGCTGGGAAATCACCTTTTGCGAACAAAGGGGACAGTGCTTGAAAGCGCAGATGGGCGTGGCGGATATCGCGGCCCAGGACGAATCTATATTGATCTGAGTGAAACAAACTACCGAATATAGAGCCAAGTCTGTGGACTAAAATATTTGGTCCCAACTTGGCATCCACATTGAGCAGTGAAATTGGACGATAGTTACTGCAATTTTTCTAGCGCCCTTTTTGTAGAACAGCGAGACTTGGGACCGCCGTTGAAATTTTGGTCACTTTTAAATTGAGCTTCATAGACCACCTCAAATATTCGATTTCAGAGAGGTAAGTCTGCCTTGTAATACTCTGTGAGTAAGCCATCTGGCCCCGGAGTCTTTCATATAGCAGTGTAAGTTAATGCCCGGTAGAACTTGAGCGCCGTCGAAGTAAGTCTGGCCCTTTGGCTCGAGATGTGCCGTAGTGTCCTAAAGAATTCTGGCAAGATTGGTATTGACCCATTTGGGTCGCCCATGACCAAACTATTTTGAAGGCGAGCAGTATATTCCTGATCAAAAGGACGAAATTTTGGCACAAGTTGACTCCAAGTCTTCGGCGAATCGGTGTCTTGTGGAGTATTTGGGCGGCCGAAAGAAAATTTAAAGCAGCGCTCGGTGTTTACTAAGTTGATGGTAGACTTGTGCTTCGAAGCGTAGTAGTTTTGCTCGGTCAGTCTTTCTTTAAGTTGGGCTGTAGCAGTGGCAAGTTGCGTTGGGTTAGCAGCAGACGGATTTTGGATTTGGAAGTGCTGGAGCTCATTCACCTTAAGATGAAGATACCGCTCATTTTCTTTGAAAACAATTCCCAGAAAAATATGGAGTCCCTCCGCTTGTGTTCGTCCAATAGGCATAGGATTCACAATTGGGGCCCCAAAATGAGTCCGATAGTTCACACAAGGACTGCTGCAAATACTCTTGGGCTTCAGACAGCTGGATAACCATGACGATCATTTCCAGGGAGCCTGATTTGGTGACCTAAACCCGAAGCATCCGAGCCTGAAAGAAATTCCGCCATGGTCACCTGTGTCCGACAAGCCGCGACAGTCGTGGCGAATGTCTTGGAAGACGGACTGAGAAAGTCTGGAGCTTACTAAGACGTAGTCAATGCGAGAACTGCTGATAGGTATTGTAAACTCTTGAAGGTTCGGGTGTTGAAATCGCCAAGCACCAACCAAGTAAAACGCAATCATCCACTCAAGGAATTTGTTTCGACCTTGAAGTCGTGTGTCGAGCTTGATCAAGCTGCTACAGTCGTCCAAAACGATGTGCTGGTAATCGTTCTCAAAATGGCGGGGTAAAATTGTAAGGAAGTCGGACCTTTTACTTGGTTGGGTCGGAGCGTTGGCAACGTGAGTAAAAGTGACAATTGCATCGAGAGTGCCTTGAATAAGGAGATACCGAGATAGGTGATCGAAAGAGCTCGCAAACCGTCATGTCATAAAGATATCGAATTGGGCAAGATGGCGTTAATAGTAGACCGACACCAGCCTGCCCTGTATCTGTGGCCACGTTACCTTGTGACCAAAAGTTGGGGTTTAGCCACGAAGCCGAACTCCAATGGTGTTTACGCCTTTCCAGACTTTTGATACTCGTAACTTTACCTCTTGATATTCCAATAAGT